CAAATATATACTATTAACTAACCAGGAATTTGATATAGGAGAAATATAGATAAAAGAATTAAAGACTGGATAATTATTAACGGTTTATAAAGGCAGATATAAGTATAAATATTTTATTATATATAGGGTAATATTAAAATATATATACAGATAAGGCTAATTAAATAATAGATAAAATACAAGATCGGAGTTATAGGTAAAACTTAACTACTAATAGTAGATATAATAGAATGTTTAATATTAATAAATAGTAATATCCGCTACTATATTATAAAAGTATATATCTATTTTCTTAGTAATATAAATAACAGAAACCGGCAGTAGCTAATTCATTATTACTATATAAGGAAAATAGAAGTAAGGAGAAGCTTTAAATATATATAACGAGATACTACTAATAATCTATTAATAGAAATAAAGAATATATATATAAATATACTAGCTAGTAATATATCGAAAATACCCGAGCTATTTAGAGCCGCTGTTTAGAATAGCCAGTAGTAGAAATCGGAAAGAAGTTAAGAATTAGAAACGATAGAATACTAGCCAAGTTTGTTCCTAAAGAATAATAGATAGGATATCTCCTTTACTATCTGGTATAATAATAAGAACCGAGAATATCTAACCAAATTCTTTAGGGAATAACTTGAAATCTCCTTCTAAAGTACTATAAAATATATACTACTATCTCTAATATAAATAGAATATCCGGCAGATATATTATATCCCTAATATTCGGTTAAGGGAGTTCCGTTAGTATTATTTATATATATTATATAGTAGCCTATTTACTTATTATAAATAGAAAGATAATAATCTATAAAGGCTATTTTCCTTGCCTTTTGGGAATTTGGCGGAAAAGTATAAATCTGGATATTCTTTTCTTCCCGTCTAGTAAGAGCTTTGTTACTAATCTAAATAGATATCTATATATTAGCTAATAAGTATATTAAAGGAAGAAAAATGGAAGTTTAAAATATCTGACCTGAACCGGAACCTGAACCGGAGCCTTAACCTTTTTAGGCATTTTTAATAACTTTTAACGTTTACTAGTTATATATAATATATTAATAAAGGGCTTCTAGATACTATAAAGCTAAATACTTACTAGGTTTGCGCCTATATATATCTTGTAGATATAATTACTAAGTAGCTTAGTAAAGCTATTATAGCAGATATTAAAGTTATATAATAATATAATAAGGAGGAAATGGCTATATACATTCTCAATTGCGGATAGTTAGCAAACCCAGAGAAGTAGGGAGAATGTTCTTGGCCTATACGGTATTAGTAACTATACGGGCTATAGGTGAAACGCCTTAGCTACTCTTACTTATATAGTTCTTTAGTAATATTATTCTAGTATAGATATTAGTCCTTAATAGCGAGAGCTTTATAGATATAATCCGATTTCTGGAAGGTATAATAGGTGAAATAAGGTAGGGAAACGGTATACGGTAAAGAGAGAAATGAATTTAATAAAATAAATTGCTAGCGGAATACTAATAAAGAATGGAAAAGAGGGCGTAACGGCTGCCCCTTAGTATAGTTAGGATAAAGTCTATTAGCGGAGCTAGGCGGAGCTAGTCGGGTAGAATAACTGAGTTATCGTTAATACTTAAGAAATAATCTTGAATAGTATCCTGATCTCTCTTACTTATAATTCGAGAGATTAGTAAAGTTATTCATTTATACGGAGAAGTTATATATATAAGGCTTTCCAAAGTAGTGGGGCTCCGGATATACTATATAATGATTTGTTTAGTAATCCGATACTAACCGAAAATATTCTAGTACACTTTAGGCTCCAGTATATTTAGAATGCGTCAGGCTGAAATATACTCTAAGCTTTAGTCGCAAAGTTCCAGAAATATAACTATTTAGAATTCTTATATATCTTATACCAAATCAAATCCTCTACACACCCCCCTCTCAGGCGCTAATAAAAGAGGCCGAAATTGGCATATATGCAGAACACCAAAACTCGCTTTATTTATATATAAACAACCCTCTTAATTATACTACCACTATACTACAATACCTCTAATTAGTATACGCAAGTCTCGAGTACGTCACTTTACTCCTCCTCCAGATCTTCTCTATACAGGAAATCACATATACCCAAAAACGCCCTTATAATATAGTATATTATGGGCCAAGACCTTTATATAAAAGCTAGGGATTACAATCTCTCAAGAAATAATTCTTAAGGTTACTGGTATTGCACCGCGCATTCAGATACGGATCTTAGCCTCTAGGCAAGCTAGAACCCTTTATAATTAGCCTAATTCAGGGCCAGATCTATATAGGAAAAAGAAAGGACTTACCCGGTCCGATACAGCCGCAATTGCCTCCTATCTTAACGACGATAGCATCTCACTAGATAATAAAGGAAAGCCTTAGCTTAATATTGCAGAAGACGCTAGTATAGAGCTACCACACACACTCCACTTCAAGCCCTCAGGCCTCCGTACGATTAACTCCAAGCCCATTCAAAAAGCCTGCCTTTAAAACGAGAATATAATTAATGCGGTTTGCGAGGAAGAGAAGGAGTTAACGGAGCTACAAGCTATAAAGAGAAGAGATTGGTCCACAGAACAGAAGGCTATACGCCTATATCCGCCAGATTGGGAAGACGTAGCGTTCTATAACGAATTCCACTTTGGAATCGGTCCGTAAGTTACAAAGAAGATAAAGAGAAGAAAGGGGAGGGAAGAGCGATATAAGCCAGCCAACGTTTACCGGAAGAAGGTTACGTTAAAGGATATAAAGGCAAAGGCGAGAGAGGAGGAGCACTTGAAGCTTTTAAATATCTTTATAATTATAGGCTTGAATTATAAGCGATATATATAGTATAAGGTAGATAACGATATAGGGAAGATAACTACAGCAGTTTATACGGGCCATATACTTCCTATAATTAAAGACGAGCTCCTTATACGTGGCTTGACCTTATATCAAGACGCCGATTCGGTATATACGAGTAAGAAGACTCTCAAGTGGGCAAAGGAGTACGGCATATCACTTCTTACTCTTCCTGGTGTCTCTCCAGACCTCTCTATTTGCGAGACTATAGCCAATCCATTAAAAAGAGCCTTTTACAGGCGCCGGTCAGCTATAGAAAAGCAAGCGAAGGAGCGATTTATACAAGTCTTTAAGGAAATAGACCAGGAAACTATTAATTATTAATATACTTGGTATACTAAGAGGTTATGGGAGTGTGAGAGGGCTAGTGGGCAGATAACTAGATACTAATTAAAGTGTGTTTTGGTGTTCTGCGCACGTACCAATTTCGGCCTCTTTTATCGGCGCCTGAGAGCCCCCTCAAATAAATTAAGGGTATTCAGGACTTGCACAACCTACTATACGCCTACTACACCAGTTGCGAAGTTTTCGAGCCGGAAGGGAGTAAAGAAAGCTGCCTCGCCAGTACCAATATTTAATACTTCATTCTCAGTTATTAGCTAATCGTTAATATTAAAACTCTCCGGACTCGTACTCTTAGTATTTGTCGATAGCCGTCTCCGTTTCGAAGCAGGAAATATTGACTCCCTCCTCTTACCTTCAAGATTACGAGTCGTATAGCAAAGAGAGGTCAGGATCCGGTATACCTGATTATATATATATATGCCCTATCTGTAGCTATAATTCTTTATTAGACAAGTAACTAACCAGAAGGTAAAGCTTTCAGTTAACTCTGCACCGATATCGATTTCCAGCTTTAAATAGATAATTATTTATTAATGCGAATATATCCCCGAGTCTATTATAAGAGTATTACGATATTATTTAATAGTGCTCTCTATAATAAAGGTTAGGCAGTTATTATATCGGGGAAATAGTATTCTCTATAAGATATCCGATACCGCTATTATAAGCTATAATAAACGACCTTCGAGAAATAATATATCTGTAGTTGAAATGTAATGCCTCTATATTAAGCAGAACGGCTCTATAGTTATTATATAAGGGGTTAGCCGATAGGTGCAAGAACGACTTGTATATAAGTTAGTTAGAGGGCTTTTAGAAACGTTATATAGTATAATAGCTAGTTATACTTTACTGGGATATCTCTGAGAATAATATTACTAACTTTACTACTAACGGAGGCCCGAGGGAAAGATTAAAGGCAAGGCCTTTAGAAGTATCTGAGGAGATATTAGCCTATATATAATATTTTAAAGAGGGATTAATTTTTTTTTGGATTATAATTTAGTAGAATATAAATAAATAAGATTTAATAGCCTTATATTATATATTTTTTATCTTAAATAGCTCTATAACTCTATAATAAAAGCCTAATTTTCTAAGGTTAAGATAAACCCTTATTATATATACCAGATTCTAGAAGTTCTAATTATTTAAAGTTACTAATAGCTTGTTATTAATTCCTTTAGCGGCCTTAAACCTTACTATTCTTTCTATATATTCCTTCCGCTTCTGCTATATTTGCCTTATATCTTTATCTAATAGCTTTTTATTCTTATTATAATTTCAAGATATATCTATTAGAAAAGGTACTATTAATAAGAAAAGTAGGAATTCTACTAGTTTCTAAAGTACTATATATACTTCTTTCTAATTAATAATATTACTATAAAGGAAATCTCGGTATTATACTGGAAATAGTCTACTATTATAGACAGAAAGTCGGTTAGCTACTGCTTTAACTTTAAGAAGAAATTCGACTATAAATATAAGTACTTTATTTATAGGGCCATTCTTTACATCTATTTAAATTTCTGTTATTAACTTCGGAAATTTTATATAAGCAGCCTATATATTAAAGAAGGCTATTACTATCTCAAATAATTCTTTTATATCTAGAAATAGCCTAATATTATAGCTGCCGTTCTTACTTCTAATAATAATTCCTATCTTTAGTAAATATACTAATATTATCTGGACCTATACTTATTAGATAAGTAATATTAATAAAGCTAAAGTAAAGGATTTACCTAAACCTGAGCTACTATATTATAAAAGCTTCCTCTATATTATTAAGAAATATAGCTGCAATTTGCTTTATAATTACTATTAGTATTAATAGTAATATTTTCTAGTAAAAACTCTATTAATATAAAGGCAACTCTAGTTAGATTATTGCTATTAATCTTATATCTGAATATCCGAGGTACCGGAATTTTTGTGTATTCTCTAATTAGTATTATAATATCTATTTCACTCTATAGCTTCTTGGCTAGCCTTTTGGTAGACTTATATATTTAAATCCGTGCGACCTATTAAGTATTATTCTCGAATTTAAATATATATATAAGGTAATACTATTTATTTATAATCTCTGGAAATATATTATATTTAATACTATTATTAAGGGTAGAGGTATACTCCCGAAGTATATCTCAATCTATTACCTTAATATAATTATCTATCAAGTATTAGAAATACGAATTCTTAGAATAGAAGTTAGTACCCTTCTAGTTTTATTCTGGAAAAGCTCGGGTATATTATATAAAGAATTTTATATTAGAAGAAGTCTAAAAGATAGTAGTTAAATAAATTTGCAAGAATAAAATAGCTTACTGCCTAAATAAATAGATATCTGAGTTATCTCTAGTTATTGCCTTGCTTAGTTTCTATAAGTTATCTCTTTAATTAATTTCTGGGCTAACTATTTAGTATCTTTACTTTAATATTTTTAGCTACCTTTATAGATTATTAGTAAATTTACTAAAGAACTAAAACCCAACTTTCTTTCCAAACCCATTATTAACTAATCGGGGCTATATATATTTATTTAATTATTATTATATACTAATATTTAGTACCCGGTTTTTAATATATTTATTAGAATAATATTTCCTGCTCTTCTAGTATATAAACCTCTCGGTATATCTCCTAGTAAGTATACTAAGTACTCGATATTTGGCTATAGCTAAAAGAATATTAGGAGAGGCGAGAAGTACTCAAAATGTAGTATAGTTCGTCCGGAGAATAATAACTGAATTTTATATTAATAATAACTTGAACTTAATAGTTATTATTTTCTTTTCGGTAATAATATAATAATATTATATACTATAGAATAATCTATAACTAATGAATTTTAATCAGGTAATAGGTATATTTGGAAAGAGGAAAGAGAAGCTTGAACTAGATATAAGAGAGAAATATAATTATATATTATATGCCTTCCTAAATATATATAGTAAAGAGAAGATGTCTTTTAATTTTGGCTGCCTTATTTCCTTATATTATATTTCCTTATTTCTGCTAATAGAGATAACTGCAACTTTTATTAATAAGAAGCTCTTATTATAGGCGTATTTAAGCGAGTAATTTTTTGGATAGGCTCGGATAGGCTATTCCGATACTAGACCCTTTTTAATTTTGCCTTATTAGCCTTATTAAAAAATATCTTATATAATGAAACCGTATAGCCTACTAGCTTACTAGTACTAAGCGAACTTGCAATAGCTTATATTCCCGTATTTAGGTTCTCTCTATTTATATTCTTTTTAATCTGTAATTATAGCTATAGCCTCTAAACTTAATAAAATCAGATATAGCCCGATTAAGGAATAGCTAACTACCTTTCGTTACTAATTTGAATCGATATATTTGGACCTTAATATTGCCTTATTATCCAATATAGTCAAACTGTCTTTTTAATAGCTACTACTAGCAGAAGTATATCTATATTTCCAGAGCGGGTTCTTCTAGCTAGAGAGTTATAGGGATAGATAATATAATATATAGGTCCTTACTTAATATACTAGTTAAAGGCTTTAATTTTATAGCTATTAGTAGTATATAAATTCACGATTATAAGGCAAAATAGAATAAGATTATTATATATTATTCTAGCCTTCTTCCGATATTTCTATTTATAGATATATCTTTCGAAATCAGGAAATAAGCTAATATATAGAGAGGTATTAAGATTTTAGCGCTTCTCGAACGAGTTAGGAAAATGTACTAGCAAGCCTTAGTAATAAGCCAAATTAAAGATTAGGGATACTTATATTCGAAAGCTTGTCTGGTATTATAGAAGAAATAGCTTCTATAAAATTAACTACCTCGGTAGACTAATCTACCGGTATAGACTTTAGGGTCTCTCTTGTCTTATTTATTATTTCTAATATAATTGTCCCTAAGGAATTCAAATCTGCTAAAATATACTCTTTATTATCCGGGAAAATAGTAGGATCTAAATATATTTAATTAGAACTATATAATACTTTTTGGGTTGGGCTTCTTACCGATCTTAACCTTATCTTTCAAAGATATAATCTCTATTAATATATATAGGTAGTCGAGTTTCCTAGATTAGATAAACTAAATACTAGCTAGAACCTATAATATTAATAAAGGTAGGATAGGGGAAGAATAATATTCGACTTACTTAACTAATAATATATACTATCTCTTATTCTATTAGATAGATCGAGTGAAATAGCAAATCTTCTATTAAGAATCCTATATATTTAGTAAATATAAAGATTTTATCTTTAAATAAATAGTATTTACAGATATTAACGAAATTCGGAAGCTAGATTTCAGGTAAATAATAAATCTTATTATATTCAGATATAATACTAAAGGTTCTTATTACCGGATTTCTGTTCTATTATTATAGAGAACGAATAAGGGGCCTGGGCCAAATTAGAGGAGAAATAGATTTTATTAGGGGTATTTAGGATAGAGGATTTGGTATTAGTTGTCTTATAGAGGTATTATAATAATATAGGGTAAAAATAAGGCGGGATATCTATAGTTATAGAATAGAATAGATATAGGAAATATATACTAAAATCCAAAGCTCTAATAAGTTACTAGAGAAAATTAAGATATAAGATTTAGGGCATTTCTATTATCTTATATCTCTACTTATAGAATTAATAAGAGACTAATTAGGCCTTTACTATTATCTCGAGTTCTTCTCTAATATTAACCTGCTATAATAGCCTTATATTATTTCTAATTCTATTTATATATACTTTTATTTCTTTATCTTTTTATCTCTTATTTAGTATAATAATAGAAAATTGCTTATATACTACTTTTACTAGAGTTCCCGAAATGCAAGAAGTATTTGAGGATCTTATAGAGGGATTTAATTATAAGAATTATTACTTTAGAGGTTTAGAGAAACTTACTTAACTATTTCTATATTAAGTTTTATAGTTAATTTTGTTTTCCCAAAGATTTATCTAGTCTCGCTCTATCCGAGCCCCTTTAAAAGTAATAGCGGACGTCTCTTACTACTAGATATATATATAACTAGAGAGTAATAAATAGTAATAATAATAATAAGACCGATTCTATTATATATTAAAGTAAAAAGAAATACTAGCCTAAGAAATACTTTAATAAAGATAATTAAATTAGGAAAGATTTCGAAAACTATAACGGGATATTCTAGATAATAGAGATAGGGTTAAATTATCTACTTATAAGAAAGAAGTTATTATCTTCTCTTTATAGTAAATAATCGGAAGCCGGCTCTATTATATTCAGTTCTATAATAACTAGTAATAAGAAGCTAAAAGAAGCCAAAAGCATCTATTATAAGCGCCTAAGCTATAAGACTATACTTACTATAAAGAGTAGCTTTATAGGCAAATTCGACTTAAATATTATAAATATAAGTAAGAAACTTTATTAAACTTTACTTAAAACAGAATAATTAGTTCCCTAAAATATACTATTTCGTAATAATCTATTTAATAAAACTTATAAGAATATATAAGCGAGAAATAAAGCTATAGTTATTCGAGATATTTCCTAACTAATATATCTATCTACCTAAATACTAAGGATCTATAGTATAATATATCTCAAGGCTTTAAATAAAAGTATTAATAAAGGCTAGAATTATACCGAACCCTTTTATAGTTCTTACTTATAACCTAATTATTCTATAGAGTTCGGATAATCTATATTTAAGAATAATTAACTCGAAAAGCTTAAGCCTTTTATTAGTAAGATTTCAGATACTTTTATATCTTATTTTATAGCTACTTAGCAAATATACTTCCTATTTCTAATATATAAAGTAAAGTATAGTACTATAGCCCTTAATATTACTAATTAATAGAATACTTATAGTATAATACTTATCGTAAGAGGTATTATTAAACTATTTAGAATAATAAAGTGCGAAAAGAAACTCTATTAAGAGATTCTCGCCTTTTTAGTCTTATATAATTACTAGATAATAAGAATATATAATTATTATCCTATATTTAATAAAGAAAAGATAACCTTCTATTACTATATAATTTATATATTTGACTTTATAGTACTAGATAGTAAGGAAAAGTAAATAGTATATAAATTCACTAAAAATATTTATAATATATAAATACCGACTTACCTAAAAAGAATCTATTTAGTTATTAATAACTTACTACTAGATTTTAAGGTCTTATAGTAATCTGAGGCAGGAAAATCTAAACTTTTATAAGGTTTAGAAAGTTACTATTTATCTAACCAAATAAGTTATAATACTATATCTCTAGATAAAGCTAATAGTTAATTAAGTTATATTAGTTTATAAGATATTACCCCTAATACTTTACTATTTTAGAGAATTAACGGAAAAGCATTTAAAAAGCTAAAGAAAAGGGCTCGACCTATAGAACTATACTAGTTTTAAAATACTAGTTAAAGATAGGAACGCTTTTAAGGTAATTAGCTATTTAGAAAAGAAGATAAATATATAGGTAAAGCAAAAATTAGAAATCAGAATTATATAGTATTTTATCTAAGGGAGTTTTATTTTTTTAGTATAAAGAATCTAGAGAAAACTATAGAATATAATAATACCAGAAATATTAACCTCTCTATTATCTCTTATAATATTTCTTCTATATCTCTAATTTCCTATTCTTCTTATATTAAACCCCGCTTCCCTTAACTATATCTTCTCCTATATCAGAACTAGTATAGAGAGATTAAACTACTACCTATCTACTTATAGAAAGAAGCCTACCTATATCTATTCTTTACTATACTTAAGTACTAGTATACTACAGGCTGAGTTCTGCCTAGAAACTTGCAGAAGATCCACTTTTAAAACTTGCTCTCTTTCTTCTATACTAGTAAGTACTACTTATCTATAGAATTCTATCGGTTATTTACCCCCGTACTTAAACCCTACTTGTCTTTACTCGAATACCTGTTATTATTACTACTAAGATTAGAATTACTATTACTTAAACTACTATTATTATTACTACTAAGCGGCTCTCTTCTCTATAATACAAGAGTTTAGATATATATAGCTTTAATATATTTGGATCTAATATATATTATATTCTTATAAGTACGGCCTGCCTCTATAGTAGTTAATATAGCTATACTACTAGATAAGAGGCAGAATAGAATATACCGGCTAAAGCCAGTAATAAGAAACAAATATTACTCTATTAACTTAATAGTGAAATTATTAATCTTCTCTATATAGCTAATATTTATAATAAGTCAAATAATCTAGCTAAAAGAGACTTCTTACTTAGTATAGCCGTTCCGAATTACTATAGTAAAGAAATAGTAATATAGGAAGTATAGATAGAATATAACCTTAGTTAATATTAGTAGGGCAACTCCGGATAATTAGTCAAGATTATAGTAATTAGGGAATATATCTATATTTGTAGTATATAGTATAGAAAGAGGCAATAAAGGCAATTAACCCTTAGTACTTGAGATCAGGGCAACTAACTTGGGAGAGTGCCTATAAGGCTTGAAATATAGTCTATATTAGTAAGTAGACCTCTACTAAAGACAGGGCTTAGGCTTCTTATATATTAGGCTATCTTAAGATAAGAACAGCCGTTTCCGCTTTATAGGATATGGTTTCCCGTTATTCTTATCCGATTCGGTATTATTAAGCTTATTACTACTATAACTATTATATCCCGCCTTATTTATTACTTATAATAATTTACGGGTGAATTCCCTTAGCTATATCTCTAATTATATTAGAGCTATAAAGTCTGCCTTCTAATTAAGCAAATTAAAGTCCGCCTATAGTTATTTAATTACTTCTATACCCAAAATAATACTATTTTTATAGAAAGATCTATACTTTCCAATAGAGGTGCCTTAGAGACTTAGAGAATATTTATTTTTCAAGGATATATCCTTATTATTATCTTTGGCCTTCTTTTACTACTACCTCTCCCTCTTATTAACGGAATCAGTATTATATATAAAGCCAACTAGCTAGTATTTATTTACTATACTTTAACTAGTATAAAAATAATCTTTTTAAGTAAGCTAGTTTTTTGGTAGTAATATTCTAATATAGTATAGAGGCGGGCTTTAGGGGCAAGTATAGATTATAGCCTCGGATCTAGTATAGTACAGATAGAGGTCTATAGTACTAATACTATTATATAATAACTTGCTTAAAAGAAGTAAAGGGGCAGTATATATGGAATTTAATATTAAAGCTCCTTATTCCACAAGCGGTAAGTGCGGCGCCGTCTCAAGAAAGTTATTAATATTATGCCACCTATTAGAACTATAAGGGGGGGCCAGAGTTATTAAGTTAATAGCTATCTTGCTATCTCCCTATAGAACTATTAGATCTTCTATACCGTATTAGCAAAACTAGCTATTTATTTCTATAATAGAGGATAATAGATATATTTATCTAGGCTACCGCTAAAGTTATTACCTAGTACTAACCCGTAGCAATTAATGGCACCGCTCTTCTTATCTATAGCTGCCTTCTTAACTCTTTACTCCTTATAGCCTGGGTTAGGGTTAGCTATAATAAAGCCCTGCTCTTATAGCTTAGTAAGCAGTAGTTTTTTAACGGTAGAAAGATTACAGCTATTATCGTTAATTTTATTATTATTTTCTTTATTACTACTGCTATAAATAATACTAGTCTCTAGTCAAATTCCTATATATTAGTTAATATTACTATAAGTTAAATATATCTTTATTTTGAAGTATACCTCGAATTCCGGGCTTATAGCCCCTATTACTATTAGCTACTAGTATTACTACTACTACTACTACTACTAGCCGCAGTATACTAAGTAATATACTACTTAATCTAATCTACTAGAGCTTATTAAGGATACTAACTTGTTCCGGGGCAGGTTTGCGGCGGGTTACTATATTCTTGAAGTACGGAGGAGTTAGTATATAGGTATACAATTTAATAGCAAAAGTAGCTATCTTAAATAAGTGGAAATAATTACGGGTATTCAAGAAGTTCTCCGCTAGCTACTAGCTATATAACTAGACTACAGAAAAGATAGCAGAGACGGGGAAATCAAAGGATTTATATAGGCTTCTTATACTACCTTTATAGAACCGGAATACACTCTATAGCCTGCTATATTATACTATACTATACTAGGCTTCCCTTCTTCTAACGCCCTCTCTATAAATAAATGCCTCGGTATTAATATAGCCCCTCTTATATAGAGAGATCTGCCATAGCTATAAGGCCCTATTACTATTAATCCTATATTCTTATACCGGAATATATCTATCTGTAGCTATTACCCCTATTTCGCTATATACTACAATCGGCCGATCTCAATATTATCTCTCGATTATCGGTAAGGCCGCAAAAAGCTAAGTAGGAAGGAGCAATAATTATTATATAAGAGAGGTATATAATTTCGGATATTTCCCTCTCCGCCCGTCTAAAGATTTCAGGCAGACTAGTAGACTAGTATATTTCAGGTCCTTCCTATCATCCGGCGTCTCAGCTACTAATCCTATAGCTAGTACAGTCCAATTAGCGAATTCTCTAAGAAATAAGAGTCTTATATAATTCTGCCGCCTCGAATTAGCCCAGGGCTATACAAGCAAGATAAATACGATATATACTGCGGCAACGGGGAAACTCACCAGGAAGCTTCCAATATATTATCCACCTGCGGTACCTGAGGTATAGCTAGGCAGAAGCCAGGCCGCATTGTCGTGAGGCATTTCTGCTACTGGCTATAGTACTATAGTAGAGGGCGGTAATGGTATAATGACGAGGCAGGTTGCGAGAGGGTCTGGACGCTACTGAGCTTGTAACTCGGCCAATGCGAGGCGCATCCTGTAAGGGGATCAGTATTATAGCTGCTTGGCAGTATCGAAGCTATAGGGGGCAATTGCGGATTCTGGTTAAAGCTGGCCCGCAGCTCGCTGGCGCGGTCTTTCTCTTTCCTCAGCTGCGGCGTGGCCAATTAGGGGAGCCTGGTGGGAAGGGGTCGGATTCTAGGCAGAAGGGCCGAATATATATAAAGGTCGCGAAGGTAGAGGGCCGTTGGGGTTATTAGAAAGGAAAGAAGGAGGGAAAGGAGCGAGCAATGGACGATGCGACGTTCTTATACCCCGCAAAAGCGGCGGCCGGCCCGTATATATACCTTGCCCGAAACGGGGGTCGCGGTTTCCTGATGCGGGTTTGCTGTCTGGTCATTTACTAAATTTAATATATATATTAAAAAGTTTTAAAACTATAAGTTTTTATATATTTATAATTAAATAAATATAAGCTTATAAATATAATATATTTATATTTAATAAAAAAAGACTATATATAAAAATAAATCTTAGAATAATTTATAAAGAAAAGTAATAAGTTTTTTTTAAATATAAATAAAAATTATAATATATATATAATATAAATATAATATAAATATAATATAAATATAATATAAATATAATATAAATATAATATAAATATAATATAAATATAATATAAATATAATATATAATATAAATATAATATAAATATAATATAAATATAATATAAATATAATATAAATATAATATAAATATAATATAAATATAATATAAATATAATACTTAAATAAATATATATATATATATATAAATAGCTTTATTATAAAAAGAGAAAAAACTATATCTGCCTTATATAAGGCTTAGAACTCCCAGAAGTAACTCTCTGGCTAGTTTCAAAAAAGAACCTTCAACTCGAATGCTTCACCTCACGTTGTAGATCTCCTCTCACTCTCGCAGAATCATGGCACGAGCGAGCAGTATTTCTCCTGACCAAACCTCTAGTCCCACCGTCGACACAAGCATTGATTGCAATAATGACTTTGGCTCATCTGTGTACTCAAATTAAGGGATTTTCTGGAAACTTTGGTATTTTGGCCATGTCTGGGCTTTAGATGGCTCGGACGAAGGATTTATCGACTTTATTCCCATTATTTCCGTGAGGAGAGACAGAAGAATGGCGCTGATATGGTTGATATCGAACTAAAACGACGTTTGGTAGCACATCGTTGCTTCGGACTAGTTCGTATACATATAAGCAGTAGAGAAGCACGTATTTCTGGTATTCTAACAAAACCACAGGCTTTTATCAAATATCGGCGGCCTACATGAAGGAACTTATATGCTTCACCCGAGCCAAATCGAGACATTCCACCTCTGCAACGTAGAAGACAAAGTACGAAGGTAATCCCCACAGGAATCACATATATCACAGAAGAATCCTACAGTAAACCGCTCAGGACCCCTACACCCATCACCTACTTCCTCTGCCGTCTCCAAGTCGCCACCCTCTCTCTCCAAGTCACCGACCTTCTAACTCCCACCTTCTGCGCTTCCCCACAAATCGACAACAGCAACGAAATGTACACCAACATCCTCCTGCTCGACCAAAAATACCAGCAGCTTCTTAAATCCCTCCCACCGTTCTTCCAACTTACTAATCGAATGGATTCTTCCGTCTATAGCGCCCCCATCAACGAGAAACCCTACCTCGAGCCACAGCGGTACCTCATCGCCTTCGCCATCCACACCAACCTCGCACGTCTCCATTGACGCTTCCTAATCCGAGGGAGCACACAACCGAAATTCGCATATTTCCGTATGCAGTGCATCCAATCCGCCGAGATCGTGCTCGAGGTGCGGAATCTCGTGATTGGGAAGAAGAGTGTCGGAAGCTTCACGTACATATTCCTCGCTCATTTCTTCATGGCGGCGGTGATTTTGGCGATGGATATGTGCTTCAATCCGACTGAGATTCAAGTTGAGCAGAGGAAGAAGGATGTGCTGAGGGCTTGTCGTGTTTTGGAGGAGGAGCTGAGTGCAAAGATGGAGCCGGTGGATGAGCTGGGGAATGAGGGGGATTCGAATGGGCATTTAAAGTTGAGGGCTTTCCAGAAAGCGCTCCAGAACCTGAGAGGTCTGTTGAGGAGGACAAATGGTAAAGAGAAGTTGCAGCAAGTGGAATCTGTGAGTGGAATAGTCGGGCAGAACGAGGGTCTGACCGGTGGTCATTCAACCAATGGGATGCCTATGATGCCAAAGAGACAGACAGACGGCGGTCAACCCAAGACAACAAACAGCGGGAACTACCCTCTTCAATCTGGCAACTATTCCGCTATAATCGAATCTATTCCGCAATTTTCTGCAGGAACAAACACCCCACCATCCGCAGCCATACCACGAGCTCCAAAGCACACGCGACTTCGCATCAGACGACATTTGGGGAAGAATTCATCAGCATCGGACCCGATTTCAACAGCTCAGGCTGGGACGCATTTCTCATTGATCTCGATGGGCAGATGGGCTGGGATGGGCAGTGGTACATGATAAATTGCTATCTGCATTTTGCACACCATCCTATAACCCTACAAAACACCCTTTCACCGACACCCCTGCCCCCGCCCCTATTTGGACTTTTGCCTTCCAAGGAAGGACAGCCTCGTGAACGGCAACAGATATTCCATCTAGTGTCTCCGTCCAAACACACTCCTCTTCTTGCTCAGCGGGACACCAGCAGCATCACACTCAGCAGTTGCCCAGGTAAGAGTCGCTACATCACATTATATTAGCCTCTTCCTTTCCTTTCCTTCCCTCCCATCCCATATCCTATTTATACCTCCATCTCAACCTTGGAAGGGAGAAAACATACCAACGGCATCATCAGTAGAGCAGGCAGTCAGAACGCAAATCTCAACATCGTTGAAGAAAGTGGTGTCAGCACAGAGACACGCGATATCGGTGACTGTACACGCGCTGTTGGCAAAGTTGTCTGTGAAGCAGGTTTGTGCGCAGGTCGGGAGGCCGCTGAGGTCCTGTGCTAGGACGGAGGTGGCTGCTGCCGTGAGGAGGGCGAGGATGGTTGGGAATTGCATGATTACAGTTGTTTGTTTGTGTTTGAATTGGAATTTTGCGTTGGTTCTTGTTTGGATGACTTGGGAATGAGGATGCGGAGGGGAGGGTCTAAGGAATGGGAAAGGAAGGAGGTTATATACTTTTCCACATCAAGGTATTGTATTGTGGTCTCCATCTCGGACAGGCACAAGGCAAGATTACTCTTGGACGCGTACTCTGGGGAAACGAGGCATGAACGGCGGGGCTCCATGCCTCTGTACCATGCATCATCTGATGTTCTCCGCATCTCGGGTCACTCCCCAGATCTTGCTGGGACAAACTGCAAGCAGCTTCAATTCCGAAGTCCTCAAAGTTTCGTCCAAGCCGACACTTTTTGGTGGGACGAGCCGCTGCAAGGACGGAGCACATCTCTCATTTTGAGGTTATAATCCAGATTCAGGACACGGACTCCCAGGGAGCTTTTATTCGACCGAAGTCTCGGAATTTCATGTGATTGCCAACCTTGCAGAAATTCAAAAAAAAAGTGTACTCTGTGGGGAACTTGATCGTGCGGTTGAGGGCAAAGTGCCGAAATTGAGATCTTGCTCCGGGCTGGACTCCGTGATTTGGATGCGGGGAAGCCCTGAGCGCCTACTTTCCAGGAACAAAGATAACACCACGTGGATACATCGGTCTGACATGGCCTTGGAACTAGGCACGGAGACAAGTGGAGGAATTCGAGGGGTCTCGGACTCTAGCAGAGAGCTGGGCCAACAATCCGGTTTGAAGCTTGTCACTTGCAAGGTTAACACGTTTTTCGCTTGCGCTGACAGGAAGATCCCAAAACCCGTACAACAAAAGGGGAAAGACTAAAACGACCCCCCCCCCACGGTGTCGATTTGGGGTATCGATGGCAGAATCTTTTTTTGGCTTAGCGCTCGGCATTCCCCGAGTCTATTACTAAGGAGCCGATTTAGCCTTAGAATCGCATAAATTAAATATTCGCAATAAAACAATTTTGCTAAACCTTTAAACCTAATTAACGTTACATCTCGATTCTTCTATAAAAGCCTCGAATGCAATAGCCAAGTATTATTCTATATAATTTACTCTATACCAAAGATATAGTATATTTATTCCCTGAATTTTATTTTATTTTATTGAAAATATAATACTTTTATCTATTATATTTTGAAAATATAGTATATTTATTTCCTATATTTTGAAATTATAGTATATTTGCCTCCTATATTTTGAATTCAGGTTTTATATACTTACCTACTATACCTCTAGCTAATTTAACTATTCTCCAGGGCACTCCTCAAATACTATATATTCTTAATAACTATTATCCTTAAGATATAAAAGAATAGAAAGTTACTTTAAATAAGATTATTAAGGGTACTCTAGAAAAATCCGAAATTCTCAAACCTATAGTAAGAGAACTCCTTATTACTATACTATCTCTTATATATATAGCAGATTTTAATCTTATTTCCGGTTCTATTAAATCCTTTCAAGCTATAATTAATAATATATAAGAAAACCTACTTCTTCCCGAATATATATATAATAGCTTTAAAGAGCTTTTAAATAGTATACGAAATTAGGGCAAGTAATTTAGATATAATCTTTTAGTTATATAGAATAAAAAGATACTAGGGAAAGATTCTCAGATTAGAATAAAGGGTTAGCTAGAATATAATAGAAGAAAGAAGAAATAAATACCTTAAATCTCTCTAATACGAAATAATAACAGAAAAGAAAGAGATACTAAAGCTTGAAAAACAGGTTATTTCTTCTTAATAAATTATAAAAAGGGCCTGAATAGCAAATAGATATTATCTTATTAAGAATATAAAAAGTATAAATAATATAATTATTAATTTAATACTTCCTATAACCCTGGCTACTATCTAATTTATAATTACCTGGATATTAAAATAATAAAACTTATCTAAATACTTTCTAATTCCAGAATTATACCTCGATTTATTATAATATTTCTTCTTAAGTAATATAATTTAACTATTAAATACAAAATAATATTAAATACTATTAGAGAAGATAAGGTTTCTAAATACTATAGTTAGAGTAATTATTAAAATTTAGCTAAGAATCTTAAAGAAAAAGGCTTTATTTCTCGGATCTATCTTAATAAGAAAAGAGTAATTATATTAATATTCTTTATATATTAACTTTCCTTAGCTTGACTTTATATATATTAAAGAATACTAGTTTTAGATATTATTTATAAAATAAACCGGTATAATATACTACTTTTAGATATAGTTAGTAAGAAGTCTTAATAACTCCTTACTTTATACTTAAAATATAGTACCTTTATTTATTATATTTTCTTAATATAGTATATATATTTACTATATTTTTAGTTTACTTACTTTTTCTATTTTATAAAACTATAATACTTTTATTTACTATATCTTTATATTCTAGTATAATTATTTACTATATTTGAAATATATATATAGCTAACTTTTTTCAAGAAATAGATATTACCGGAGCTACTTTTTATATTAGCTTCTATTTTATAAATAGCGAGATAATATTAGATTATTACTAGGCCCTTTAGTAATTACGGGCTATATATAATCTATAGCCGAATATAATACCACTTATTATTCTAATAGACTTTGCTTCTATTATAATTACTACTATAGCAAAGATCTTTCCGGAAATAGCTTACCTCCTTTATAGTTAGTATACTAATTAAAATATAGAGGCAAATTATAGGCCAAGCTTTTTTAAAGGCAAGAAAAATAAGATATTAAAAATAGTAGTTATAGCTTATAACGAATTTTTTATTATATAATATATAATTATTTAATCTACTACTAAAGAAGTATATATTAAGAATCTAATAGAGATAAAATACAAGTATAGCCGAATATTATATACTAGTTATATATTATATATTAAAAATTAGTAGCTTATATCTTATAAGAAAAAGCTTATAAGGTTCTGAGTTAACTAGTATTTATACTTTAATATAACTACCTTAAATACTATAGAAGAACTATACTCTTTAATTAAACTAGATCTTAGTAGATATTATAGTAATTTCTTTAATCTTTAGAAAAAGATTTATAATATAATTATAAGATAAATTATCTAGTTTTAAGATAAATAGTTTATATAATAAATATTATAGTAATTTCATATCCCAGAAGCTTTTTATTCGGACTATAGGGGCCGGATATTATATAAAGTAATAAGTCTAGTATATAAGTAAATATAATTAGAAAATAATAATAAGTATATTAGTAAATTTACTAGATAATACGAAATTATCTATATATATAAAATTACTAAAAGAAAGGCTAATAGAAGGAAATTAGATATAGAGGACTTTGACTCTTATTAGTACTTATATAAGACGGCTTATTATATATAGCCTATATATAATTCTCAGGTAATTATTTATAAATAAACTAAAAGAACCGATTTTATCTTGAATTATAGGATTATCTAGAATAAGAGGCTTGATTTTTAAGAGAATAAAACTCGCTCTAGAAAGATACTAATATATAATTTCTATTAGAATATAGGTAAAGTCTTAAGTATTTATACTAGCTATATAAAGGTTTTAAGGTTCTATTCTATAAGAATTATAAGGCTAGTATAGGAAATTAGTAATTTCTAATACCCCCTAAATACTTAAAAATAGCTTTAATACTAGTTCTAATAAGAAAAGTCTTATATAAACTCAAAATCCCGAAACTTCTTACTAGTATCTAGTATAGGTAATTCTCGCTTTTATCCTCGAGTACTATAGCTAAGCAAAGCAAAAGTATAAATACCTTTAAATAGGCCCTAAATACTAGACTAATAGAGATAAAGAGTGAGTTATATTTCTAATATAGATATTAAGGGAAATAAGCTAAATAAAAAAGAGTTTACTAGCTTTAGTAATAACGAGACTTTACTATTACCTGAGGATAATTCCTTTAATAACTCTTATATTATTCCCGAATACTCTTCTAATAAACTATTAATACCTCTTTAAAAACTTCTATTAATATTCTATTTCTAATTAATATCCTTTTAAAAATTTTAATTAATACCCTATCTCTAATTAATACCCCTTTAAAATTTCTAATTAATACCTTATTTCTAATTAATATCCCTCTAAAATTTATAGTTAATACCCGATTTCTAATTAATACCTTACTTTTAATTAATACCCCTCCAAAATTTATAATTAATATCCGATTTCTAATTAATACTTTCCCTGAATATTTAATTAAGAGTATAAGCTAGACCGTCTACTACTTATACTTATAAATCCCCGTTACTACTATAATCTCTTTTTCCTATTTTCTATACTAGAAAAATAAAAGAGGCAGAATATATTACTAAAAGATTATTAAAAGGGCCTTTTAAATCCGAATTCAAATCCGAATCCGAAATTAAATCTATTATAAGATTCCTTAATATATATTATTTTAAAATATATCTTTTGGCTTAAATATAAAAAGTAAATACTATTTTCCTAAATAATATTAAAAAAGCTAGTTCTATTAAGAGAATATACTTTTAATATAAATACTATAGATATTAGTATTAGGGTTATCTAGCCAGAACTAGTAATAAAAATCTAATAGATATTAGTTTCCGGAAATCTCTTAGCCTATCTTAATATAATATTTAATATTTAGACTAGTATAAAAGTATTATAGGATTTTACTAGTTAAGGCTATATAATTATAAAAATGTAATAAACTAGCAGTCCCTATATAATCCAAAAACAGAAGCCCGTTCCCTAATTACTATAAAGCCAATATACTTCCTATAAACAGAAAACGAAATAAATACTTTCCTGGATTTTTAGGAAAATAAAATTAATTTGAAATAAGAATATAGAACCGGCCCTAGTAAAGAACAGGTTTTTATATATAGTATAAAGGAGATTTCTAAAGAGTATAAAAGTATTCTTAAAGAATACTAAATAAATCTCGAGAATAAGAAATATAAGAGTATATTTGAACTTGAAATTATAATAAATATTAATAAGTTATAA